ACGATAATAGGTTTCCTACATTTTTTTTCTTTCATTGTTATGACTGAAATCCCTTTGGCTAAAATTTTGGATCATTCGATTTTAAGTGGCACTGATTAGATTCCTGTTTTTGGAGCCGGTTCAACAACAATACAACAGACAGGATCTTAAGAAAACTTGGTGCATTATTTTAGGATAAATGCGTCTTTTCTTTTAAATTTAACTAACGAAAGTCTCCAATCTGTTGGCAGATACTTTAAACACGTTACCACACATTATCTTAACTTTTAAGCTTTCTGATGCATAAATGTAAACAGCACGAGTTCGATCCTGCAATGTTTGCTCTGCGAAATGATTTTATAATGGTTTCAAGGAAACCATCTAAAATGAAAGACTCTTATTGTTGCAATATTCGGGCGGGAGCTGCCCAGTCCTCATTTTCAAATCTTGATAGAGTTCAAAAACGTCTCCGAGTCGTTGTTGGAGAATATATATATATATATATATCGAAAGTGCTCAGGCGAACTACATTCCTTGGTTCCGCCAGTGCTAACCTTCGCGGTTAGGACCCGTCATGCCACTTACATTGTACCAAATTATCTACATTCCCTCCGTATTCCATACCAGCTTCGTCTCGTGAACCACTGCCCTGTGGAACAGACATCCAAGACGATGTTTCTCCGATCACTACAGTCTTAACCTGTTCAAGTCTAGAGTGAAACGTTATCTTCCCCTTCTTATCCATATGAACAATCTCTGGGCGCCACCCTCTACCTCGATTGGCCTCCGGACTTTGTACAGAGGATCTTTACTGTAAAAAAAAAAAAAAAAAAAAACTTAAATATGCACTCTGAAGAAAATGATAAAAACTGCTAATATTCTCAAACCGGTAATTTGATCAGGTCCGCGGTTGAGCCGGGATCCGTCGCCCAGGACGCAGAGATAAAAAAAAAATAGTTAAATATTCTTCTCTTGCTGATAGATTTTTTTTTTTTTACTCCTGAGGCAGTGGAGATTTCTGTGGTTATTGGCCCTCGTTCGATGGCGTTCCTTTCGAGGATTGGCGCGATGGCGTCTCGATTAATGGACGAGCCTCGCGAAACGGAGTGGCTCTTGCAGCGTGTCTCACTGGCGATGGTTCGAGGTAATGCTTTCTCCATTATTGCGGCTGGCAGATGATAGCAAAAAAAACAAAAAAAAAAACATTCTGTTTATAGTTATTTTATTATCAAACATTAAAAGAGAATTTCAATAAGTGTTCTCTCATAACGACATTTATCAAATCCCATATATCCAATGAAGATCGTGTGCTAGCATCTGAAAATATTTCTTTACTTATTACAAAAAAAAGGAAAACCTCTTTACTATTGGTGATTAATTTATTGTGCGCTCTGTAAAATAAATAACGGAAACTGTTTTAAAAAAAATACAGATCCAATATTGAAATGTTTTTCCTTGGGATACCATGCAGCTCCGATATTAATATGATAGCATCGAATAGCAGTAGAGGTTTCTCTATCTTCCGGGGTCTTAATGAAAGAAATTGACATTTTGGTGTTATGTTGCTGCAACTCTTCATTTTGAGAGTATCTGGTTGGCAGTTTTCTGATAGCAAGGATACCGAACACTTTGATGATGTTTTCAGAGGTTACTCTGGTCAGTCAGTTGTGCCATGCGGGATACACGCTTAGGCGATCATGTATCTTTCGATACAGGACTGACGAGGCAGATTTTTTTTCCCGGTGTAGAACAGTTTCCGTCCAAGGCTAAAGAACTCGGTCTGTCCTGCAGTGGAGTTGGGGATAGGATTCATACCTTTCCCAAGGGTATTAGCACGTAGGTGAATGTAATGGATGCGACTGGAATTCGAACTCGGCTCTCCGATTCCGCAATCCATTACGCCACCGTGCCTCTGGTCAACAGTCACATAATATCAAGTGGCTAAATTATTCTGATGCTGCAAGTTTTCAAACCTTCAATTTTTCAGTTAAATATATTTCCCTACTAGTTTCCCTACTAATTCTGACCAACTTGCCTCTCTTTACACTTTATTTGTTCCTTACCTCCCTTCTTGACTCATTTTGCATTGCAACTCTTCATGGTAGTTCGGGTCATGCTATACTGTCTGTTTCTTTTGATTTCTTTATGGACGAACCCCCTATTCGTAAGATTTCTTTCTGCTACCAGCCTACTACCGACTAGGATTCATTTGGCAGTTTTCTTTGTCCGGCTCCTTAGGGTAACATTCCTATGGAAAATTGTGTCATTGAGATTTCTTCTTGAGTGAAAGCCGGTATCGAATCTTTTGTGCTATCTCGTAGATCATACTTATTATAAAACCCAGTGTGTGTGTGTGTGTGTGTGTGTGTGTGTGTGTGTGTGCCTGTACGTTTATATATTGGATCGGATTTCCTACATTTTTCAACCGATTTCAACAAAACTTCACAGGGCTACGTAAAATTACCTTGCGGTGGTTCTGACAGCGCCAAAAATTGGAAAAACAATTGTTTTTGCACAAAATCAATTTGAAAACACGATTAAGAGGCATCGCGAGAATGAAAGGGTGACAACTCATATCGAGTTATACTTATTATAAAACCCAGGTTGTTTGTGTGTGTGTGTGTGTGTGTGTGTTCGTTTATATATGGGATCGGATTTCCTACATTTTTCAACCAATTTCAACAAAACTTCACTTTTTTTTTTTTGGCGCAGGTAGTGTTTCTTATTGTCTTGCACACTTTTTTTATTTTTTACATTCAGAATGCTTTAAAATTCCATTTACAAGACAATTGTTTATAATAAAATTCTATTCAATTGGTAGACTCATAACGATTGAAAACAATGTTTTTGTTTGAGTTTGGGTTTGACCAATTCGTAAAAAAAAAAAAAAAATAATAATTAAGACATGCGTGTCCGTCAACCTTAAACAATAATCTTTGTCGATTTTATTTTTCAGTCTTTATGATGGTCGATACTTGATCTATCTCTTACTGTTACATCCCCGGGCAACGCCGGGCTTTACTGCTAGTACCAAATAAAACCATAATCACTTTGGTTCACACCTACCTCTATGGCCCACAGGAATTACTTTTTTTTTCTTGTTATACCAACGTGATAGTTCTGATTACAACATACGCCTCTTTGTGTCTCCTCGTAATAATTGCAAAACATATCTGCAATGAAGCTTAGCCGTTGTTCTCTAATAGAGAGAGAGAGGAGCCTTATGTCCGATCACAAGTTTGCTTCTCGTGACTACTGGCGGCTCTGTAAGAGTTTGTTGAATAAGCATCAGTGTTATCATTTTCTGCTTTATAAAACAGAATTTTGTGATCATAAATTCTCTTAAAATTCTACTCTTCGATTCATCTGGAATATCTTTGCTTGACTTTCCACTTAGAACTAAGTTTCTATAAATCCGTCCATGGTTTTCGCTATCATCTTCAAACTAGATTCCCGCAAAACATCTGTAGCCGATGATGTCCTTAGGAAATGTACCCACCTGAACTAAACCTGTTCTTTCCAAGCTCGACAATAGACTTCTCGCGTTTTCTTGTTTTCCAGATTGTTGGAAATCCTTTTCCGAAGCTCCTGTTTTTAAGAGTTCTAGCCAACCATCTGATCCTTCGAACTATTAGTTTTCTATTTGTTTTTTTTGTTTTGTTTTTTCTTTGGACAATGTGCTATAGTCTCTAAGCATCTACCCAAGTATGGTCGTCTTTCAGAAAAAAAAATGGCTTTTGCGTCTACCGCTGATGTTAACAGTTATTGTTCAAATAATTCCACAAGCCTTAGATAAGAATTGCGAAACTAGGGATGTTGCTTTAGATATCTGTTGTAATAATAATAGCGACATTATCAATGTTAAGAACGGGTGTATTCAGTTCAGTTACATTATCTTTTTATTTTATTTTTTTATGATAAACGTCAGAGGCAGTGAACCGGGCTTACGACAGACAGCCGAGAAATTCGGTTACGGCTCTAAACTACTCGGTAATAATCGTTTCAAGGAATATAATTTTTAATGTTAAATTTCGAAAGCAGCATTATGGAGACTAAATTTGAAGTTTTAATCGTCACCTTACAATTTTTAAACAAATCTGCATCGTCTCTGATCACGCCTTAGTTCTTTCACGAGGTAATATTCCATTTGATTGTCTGATTATTCAAGACTTTTTCTTTCTTTTTTTGGTAATAAACATTCAGACAGATTATCACAAATTTTGCAATTACATTAACTAATTTCTTTTTAAAAATGGCTTTTTCTAGAAGCGGGTGTCTTTTTTTTTTTTTTTTTTCCTATACAAAATTGTGACCAAATTCGTTTTCTTCCTTATGTCGGAACACTTTTTTATCTTAATTTAAAGATAATTATAGCGAAATCGTCCTTGTTTCTTAGAATCCACAATAAATTCGATAACAAAGAATTTTGTTTTCTATTTGTCATAAAATTAAAGAACTCATATTTTTCTGCCTGTAATAAAAAAAAAAAAAAAGTCATCTCCCAAAGCGGTTGTCACCTTCTTTCCGCGGGAAACTTTAGATTCTCAATGAAATCTAAAAAAAAAAAAAATCAATTTGTCAATTTTGACTTTAAATATCTTACTAAAAAATTTTATTTACATGATTGCATTTTGTTAGTAAAGAAATCTGGAATGTAAAGTATAAAAGAATCAGATGAACCCTTTGATCCTTATGAGGAGACATTTCAAGAAAATACATTTCAAGAAAATACCACTTTTTAATTTCTATTTTTTTTTTTTTTTTTTATACACTGTTGTGGGGACATTTTTGTCTCACCATAATTTTCCCCCAAGTTGGATATAAAACGTAGTGATTCATGAAGTTATGATCTTTTTAATATAAAAATACTAAATGATTGTGTATTTGTCTGATCGTAAGGATTAATGAATATATTTTATACATTATACAATTTAACAAACTACGAATAAAAAGGATTTCTATGAATTAACTTAATGGATTTGTCACATTTCAAGTTGAAGTTTATTCTGTTTTATTTTCAGTTGAATTTCTTCAACAAATTTAAATCGCCACCAAGTGAATCACGTAGAGAAATCCGCACAGAAACTGTGCCAAAAAAGAGAACTTTCTTTTTCACTGGAAAACCTTACACCACCAATATGGGTTGCGTTCGCTCGAAAGAGAAAGAATTTGACATTTCTAACAAGGAACACGTTGAAGTGAAAGAACCAGAAAAAGGAGAGAAAAAAGACACCTCCGAGAAAACTTCGGACGTTTTGCAGAAAATGAGAGAGGATTGTAAGAAAGCTCATAATGCATACCGTGCCAAACACATGGTGATGGCACTGAAATTAAATGATGACCTAAACAAACTGGCACAGAAATGGGCTGAACACCTTGCTTCTATCCGGACGCTTAAGCATAGTGACTGCAAATGGAAAGATGACATTGTTGGAGAGAATATTGCATATAAATGGATGTCAAATGGAGGAGAATTTACAGGTAAATTGGCTCCCATCCACAATGATAGATTAGGATTGTTTTCAGTTTTTTTATTAAATAAGTCACCAGTTTCTTCTCGTAATATTAATGACAATTTTAAAATGCAGGCTACAATCAAGAAAAATAGATAAAAATGACATATTAGAATCATTATTGTTTTTGGCCAATGCTGTGTCCTTCCTCGTGTTTGGTATGCTGAAATGAAGGATAACCTTCATAAATATCCTCATTCTTCTCAGACCACTATTCTGAATAAATAACTAATTTTTTTTCTTTAAGTTTCATTGGTATACATTAAATAAAATTAAAAAAAAAAAATGTTCTTTTTGTTCATCAATAAGTCTCATCAGTTTGACCATTAATGACATCAGCATCATTATTCTTTTAACAAATACTTCAATACCTTTCTGAATATAAATCAGTAAAAAACTGATTACTTTCAATTTTTGTCCACATGCTTTTTTTACCTCTCCTTGTGGAGAGACGATTGTAATCCTGTTTTTCAAATGATTTTTTTTGTAGGGCAAGAAGTTACTGACAATTGGTATAATGAAGTTGAAAAATATGACTACAATGTTGGAAGAAGCCAAGGCACTGGTAAGTGACTAAGAATCAAATACTTGCCTTAATTTCATAGGCAGAAAGTGATTTCCTGTGCATCAACAATTAAAATTTGTAATTAATATAGAGATTTTTTTATTATTTCTATCTTGTCTTTAATCTTGAACTGTTAAAAAAAAAAAAAAAAAAAAATCAATAATTACCCCCATTTATGTTAACTGCCAGAACATTGTAAACCAGAACTTAATTTTTTTTTTTTTTTCTCTCCCCACTTCAGGGCATTTCACTCAAGTGGTGTGGAAAGGAAGCTTTGAATTTGGAATGGGCATGGCTCGAGCAAGCGATGGCAGTTTTTACGTTGTTTGCAATTACTTCCCAGCAGGCAACATCATTGGAAGATTTGATGAGAACGTACTGAAACCAAAATAACTAGCTTCAAGTGTGGCGGAAAAAAAAAAAAAATATTCAAAAGATTTCTAATTCCTTACATTCAAATTTAAAATAAAATTCTGGCTTTCATTGTGTAAATGTCCAGCAATTTCCTTTGGCTAAATGACTCAGGTACAGACAGACACAACGTTCAAGATGATGGACAACTATATCTCAAAAGAGTTGTCATTAACATTGTATCTTCTGCTTACATTTTATAAACGTTTTTTAAAAATGCTAAGTTAGTCATTAAATTTTGAATTATAGGTTTTTAATGAACAAAAAAAAAAAAAAATACTTGCAACTCACTGCAATAATTATAGAGTATGGTGTTGCTAGTTTTTTTATTTTTTTTATTGAACCTGTTTTTTCTTTTTACGGTTGTACTTTCTTTTATAATTACCCTGTAAGAATTCTAAATTTTCTCAAACTTTCACATAATAAAGAATCAAAAGTCATTTGTTTGAGATATCTTCCCCTCCCCATTACAACGTTTATGACTTTGTTCTAATTTTATGCTGTTTAATGGACAAAGATATTGTTTCCTTAAAACAGGCATAATTCATGAATTATGCCTATCAAGGAGGGGGAGGAATTATTTTGACTTTTTAACCATGTTTCATGTTTAAATCATACTTGAAACAATATCTTTCTCCAAATTTCATGCTTTAAATTTGTAAGAAATCATACACTTCAATCGGTCTTAAACAATCTTTATTTCCATAAAGTTAAAAAAAAAAAAAAAAAAAAAAATTATTTTTTTGCCAACCCCCATTTATTTTATTCCTTCACTTTGGAGTTTCTTGGCACCAATGGCTGTAAAGAAAAAAAAACAAAATTATCAAATCTAAGGAACATCCACAAAAATCGTGTAAAACATTGTAAAGACTAAGGCTTAAAGAATAGAATGTTACTTTCAAGGTGTTATTTTCATGACCTGGACACCAATTGAATGTTCATAATTATGGCCTTATGCCAGACTAAAGTTAAATATCAAACATCTTTGAAAAAAATTCAATAAGATTTTGCCATGAAGATAAAATATTACAAAAGTCCTTAATGGGGGGGGTGGGGACTTATCAATTTTTATCACATTTTAGGTGTAGCTCAAAACTTTCATTTTAATTCCACGTCCCTAGCAGTTAGCATTCAGAAACTCAACTGCGCTGTAGTAAATTTACAGCCAAAATCCAGAACCTTCACCAAACAAAATTTAGTGAAGCCCAAGTCACTTGGGCTAAAGCTGAAAAGAAAATCCCAACTTGCTGATAGACAGAAGTTGATCTCACAAGCCATTGATATTGCTGCTCTGATAAATGCAGCAGATTTTGCTGTAAATAAGTGTCAAATTTGATATCCAACTAAAAAGACAGCATACATTAAATTAAGTCAATAAAATATTGAATAACTCTGGGGAATCCATCCAGAGCAAAAATAACAAAAAGAAACATTTCATCTACAATTTGGGGGAGGGGGGAAAAAAAAAAAAGTGCTTACGTTTGATATGACAAACTTCTGCATCCACCCCAATTTGAAGAAGGTGATCAATCCAAAGCATTTGTTTTGTGGACAGTCGATCCCCAGGACCTTTCACTTCAGATATCTAACCAAAATTTAAAGAAAACATTATTTATGAAAAAAAAAGGGGGGGTGCATATGACTCAATTTAAGAATTCACAATGAAAAGATTTGTTGAAGTACAAAGTTTAGTTTAGTCCAATGAAAGGAAATAAGAGTAGTCAGGAAGACTGTATTGCACCAGTCTCTCAAATATAACAAAGCCAGGAAATACATAACTATCTCAGCCACCAAGCAGACCTGAGCATCATTCAATATAAAAAAAAAAAATGAATAAAAATAACTTCATTAAAAACTGACCCGTTTACCTGACTAACAGAGAAATGGGGTCAGGAACTCGCTTGTAACTTTAAATACCTATAATTTAATATGTTGATGTGGATTGCAGTATCAGTTATGATTGCACAGGTCCACATGGGAGTGACTGTCTCAATTGCAATTAATGCATGTGAAGACACCTTCCTCCCAATGTTGTTTTCTTTCCTTTGAAGTTTCTTCTCTCCTCCCTCTAGCCTTTGATGTAAATTGCATCTCCAGCATGAGCAATTGTTTATGACATCTTCCTACCACTTGATGTTCATGTCTACTTTTGCAGATCTCCTTGATGCAAAGATTCACCTTTGTGCTGGTGGCCAGTTCCTCATAGAGAAGGACCTTCGGAATCCTTCCAACAGTAGATTGTTGCTTGTTAACCATGTTTGCCGTAGTCTCTGAATATAGAATCCAGTGAAGTCCGTAATGTGTTCAATATCAGAGGTTGGCAATGAAGATTCAGAGAAAGTAGCAGCTGTTAAGTAATTCTTTTAAGTCTTCAATATCAGAGGTTGGCAGTGAAGATATTTTTGGAGAAAAAAACAAAATGGCTGACTTTATACACGTCGGATTGAATATTTTGAGTTTTGATTGGTTAACCCTTCTCTTGGTGAACTATAAAATGAGTCAGCTCATTTTGGTTGGCTCACTAGTACATAGTACCCATAAATTCTAACATTGCTTCCCATGTTTTGCCATTGCAAAAATTAGTATCATTTCATCTGAATTTTCTCCCACCACGATGAACAGTTGCACTCACAATAAGTCTCCAGGCTTTGAAATGGATTGGAACTCCAGTTCCCTCAAGAAGTCAAGTGAAACTCATAAATAGAATCCATTGATAAAGATGCTGAAAGAATTGTCAGCTTATTCTACCATTCCATAAAGTACCTGACTCTCCTTCTGTTGTACTTTATCTTTACTAGAGCCAGATTAGATAAAAAATGAAGTATTGCTGCCATGTCTAGGCTGAAGCAGCCTTTTCCAGTCTTGACAAAATCATTTACACTATCTTGTAGCATATCATTTGTTTTCTACTCTACAGCTTCTTTCCCCACAGGTGCAATGCTGCAAACCCATTGTTATTCTATTGCTATTTCCATGGCAAATGTTCAGATGAGCTCCACTCTTTAGTTCCACCACTCACCAGGCTACATCAACAGAATTGAATCCCCAACATTTCCTCCATATTCCAATTGTAAGGAAGAAGTTGTACTCAGTTCCTTTTTCAAGAAATGCCACTTTGTAAACAATCTCCTGCCTGGATGCTTCCCTGAATGCTACAATGTTAAACTCTCCCAGTCAAGGATTAATCGATATCTTGTCTTATTCTTATAGTCTTCACTTTCTTCTACCTCCTCTTACATTTAAATCATACACTTTGTTCAGTAACCCTATACCTTGAGTGGTTCTTGTGCCTTCCATTGGGTAAATTTTATTAATAAAAAAGAAAAAAAAATTATGTTAAGTTTTAATTGTACTTGTCAGAAAAGACACCCAATCATAGAAAGTCAATCAACTTCTCAGTGAAAGAGAAATTATGTAAATGTCAGTAAAGAAAGAAAAAAATTATAAGATGAATTTTGCCAATGGAATTTAAAAAAATTACAGGAGTAACAAAATGTTTCATTTGCACTAACAACAACAACAACAAAACTTATTAAAATTTAAGAAATATTCATGGAATATAGAAAACTAAAGGTTTGCATGTGTCCACTGCAAAACATGGAAATTAATTACATAAAAAATCAATTGTACGTGCAAATATTACATAAAATATGTTTTTATTATGGAACTTTCCAGTTCTTTGGATACAAACTCTTCCAATGCATAAGTGGACAGGATTTTTCTATCTTTTGAAGTTTTTCCCTAACCATTTCTGGTTGGGTTTTAATTCAGAGTACAACAAGCTCAGCTCCAGGGGGTCCATTCCCAACAAGCATCAACTCATCTATTTCAATAATAAAAGAAAAACTGATGGAATGAGGTTTCCCAAAAGGGAAATGCCCAAGAGGAGTGAGCAATTTGTGTTACTAATCCCCAAAATGGATTTGGGTAGAGGAACTCTTATCAGCAGGCAAAGTAGAATCAGGAAAAAAAAAAAAAAAAGAGTTCAAATTCTGGCCTAGTCAGTTGCATTCATTTTCCCACTAATCCCCTTGGGAAAGACATAAATCCACATCTTTTTTTTCTCCCTCCAATAAGAGGTTAAATAGCAGGGTAGACTGGGCTCTTGAGACTTGAGTGGCAACTAATCTAAGAAGGAAAATTCTGAATACTAAACAGTAGAGAAGCAACAGGAAACAACTATCTTCTCACAAAAAACTATGATAATTCACAGATAATAAAGAAAAATGCAACAAGTTTTAAAAGCGCAAATACAAAATTGTCAACTCGGAAAATGCAAAAATACTGTCCTCCATTAAAATAGTAACATAATGTAAAGAGACCTGTAATAAAAAACTAATCATCACACAGGAGAACAAAATATATCTTTAGAAAAAGAAAAGTTTAAATTACATACTTATTTTATCAAAATAGCCTAAAAAATAAACATGATATTGGTGCTTGAAATGAAAGGAAATTTCACTTTTGACATGTTTTCACACTATAGGGCAGTTTATGATATGTAATCAAATGTGATTTTATTGTAGCTATTTTCTAGAATGACTGATATCTTGCTCACTATCTTAGCTTTTACATCACATGGAAATAAATGGAAGTATGGTTAACATTTTTAAATAATATATGTGACTCCATTTTGTTTAATAATGTTTTATTTTAAGAATAAAAGCATTTTTTGCCTATTGCACTTACTATGTCTACTGCAGTATATTTATTAAACAATTAACAAAATAAACTTTTAATTTCAACAATTACGCTAATGCTATTTCACAGTATGTGAAAATGTCTCTCTCTCAAAAAATAAAGTCGAACAACTGTAGTGCAGTAAAAATCTCAATTATCACACTGACAGTTATTTCATCAAATGAGCAAATTTTCTTTTGTTTCAAATGAAAGTTAAAAACTTGTGTCAACACAATGTAAGAAAATATGGAGGCTAGAGTTTTGCCAAATCACCTTGAACTGTTTGGTTTCCACATTCCAAAGAGTCAAATCAGGAAAACCACTTCTTGTTTGACGAGGATTCTTAGCATACCTTTCCAGAATTCCAGCCAAAATTTCTCCTCCAATGCAACTCACAAGACCCTACACTCAAAAAGGAAAAAGAAAAAAAAAATCAGAATTCTTCCAATGAAGAAAAAAAAAAAAAAAAGTCAAAAATTGCAAAATGACTAGAATTGAAGAAACAAATTTTAGCAGAAAACAAGCGATAAGCAAACAAATTTTCAATTGCTTCACAGACTAAATCAGTCATTTTGCAATTATTTCTTGGACAGGTAATTGTGAGAATGGATCACTTATTCATTGACTTTCACATAAACTTTCTTGTCTACAATTGTGACTAACAATAAAAAGTAAGGAAATTTGAATTTATGCCTTTTTTTTTTTTTAAGACAGATTAGTGAAATAGAGTAAAAAAGCAGTTCTAACCAGAGAATTTAGTCTTTGAAAACCTATTTATATTTCTATAACACTCAGAGAAAAAAAAATTATAAAAAATATTTAAGATTTTCCTTCTATTTTAATGTTATTTATAAACATTTCTGGTTTCATTATTTTTTTTTTTCAAAAAAGTTAAAAATAATAAAGTATAATCCTTGTAAATATTTTCTTAAGGAAAAAAGCAAACCTGAATTTCTTCAAGCGATGTCCAATTATTCCAATTAATATGGCAATTAACACCAAAGTAAGTGTTCCAAGTCACAGCCATTATATCCCATAATTCCTGTAATAAAGGAGACAATATAGACATGGATATTAGGCACATGCAAGTTAAGTACTTCATTATTTTTTTTTTTTTTTTTTTAATTCAAAATTTACATTTACTTTCTCAATCCCCTGGCAACAGATACACACAGCCCTGCACCCTGAAACACTGTCTATGACATCTATTGATAGCTGGAACCACTATAGCTTATTTCATTTATTACTTTTACTCACTGATTCATAACAACAAACTGTAATGAATGCCAAAGAGAACATCAAAAAAGTTATATTTCTGCTTTCATTTGGTGCTTTACTTTTTAATCATTTCACCCCAAGCAAGGCAATAAAGCCACCAGGACATAAGAGCTTATGGAGTGTTAGAGAATGAGAAAAACTATTATTAAAGAGAAAGTACAATAAAAGAATAAGAATTAAAAAGACAGAAGATAACATTGACACTGCATTTAAATTTTTGAAGATCAAAGTTGACTGTGAAGCAAGAAGCCAAAAGATAGTTCCACAGGCAAGAAGTGTAAGAGAAAAAACTATTAGCATAGAACTTACACTTACATCTAGCAATTCCAACTGTAAAATGATGGGAGCTAACTGCCAATCTAGTACAGCACTTAAATTCATAAAGTCTAGGTACCATAGCAGAAAGTCCATCAAAACAATTAACATGGAAGTATTTCTAGAAAAGGCACAAGGAAGCTACGTTATGGTGGTGGGAAAAGGACTGAAGCTGAGATGCCAGGTCAAGACCAATAACATTGCAGATTCTTCTTAGGATTTTATCAAGAATCTCTAAATATATAGCAGGCTCACCGAACCAGATGTGGCAGCCATATTAAAGCAGGGATAAATAAAATTATTCATAAACAAAAATGGCTGAAATTGGTATTCAGAAATTAAACGGCAAAGAAGAGATGGTTAAATTAATGAATCAAAAGAAAAAGAAATGAATAAGTGATCCTTACTTTTCTAATAATACAAAAAAAAAAAAAAAAAAACCTCTCTCATCTGAAATAGATGTGAAGATTGATGCAAAAAATTTGATAACTTTGTATTTCTCAAAGGAACTACAGTCATAATCATTCATAAAGGCCGACTTACTTGTATAGAAGCTAAAGAAATCTGTTGTAGACGATCATCGACAAGTTTTTTTCTGTTTGTGTAGAACTCACTAGACATCATGTCAAGTGGACAAGTTTGGAAGGTGCATCGAAAGACATCAGGAACAGCCATGAAAATGATTTCCCAAAAGAAAAGGAAAAACAGGGTGCTGACAATTGACCCCTCTGCATGAATACCTGAAAACAAACAAAAGCAAACAGTAAAAAAAAAAAAAAATCTACATATTCATTGAAAATGAAAAATATGACAATATAGGAAAACTTGTATTTAAAAAAATTAAAAATTTATGTATTCTTCAATAATTCAACGAGTGGGTGGGGACTGCCATTATCAATTGAAAATTGTTAAACAGAAGAAATTGTCTTTAAATCAAATTTATTTTCTGATGTTTAATGAAATACGCCCTTGAATTAATTGAAACAATCATTTTAGTTTCTTTTCTTTTGACATATGGTCAGTTTGAGACACACTGGAGTGACAGGCTGTAATAGATTTCTATTTTCTCCTCAGATTATGTCATTCGCAGTGGTGTGCAGTAATATGAATCCATTTTCGAGGTGTATGATGAAATTTGTTTGGCCTTGCAAAATATTGCGTCATCTTTGATTGCATCATTTTTATCCTGCCTATACACTATTGTCTTGACTGTTGATTAGTTGTCCTACAACCATTGTCTGTGATGGATGTTACTCCAAGAAAGTGTACAAAAATTGTAACACTGCATTAATACACTGGCAAGCCTTACCAGTGAGCAAATCAAAGTACTATAGACTGGCCCAGAAACTCTCCTGATTTAAATCCAATCAAGAATCTGTGGTCAGTCTGCAAGGAACAACTTCATGGAATGGACAACTAACATGTGCACTGGGTCATGTTTCATTGGAAAAATACAAAAAAAAAAGTAAATAATAATGGAATTATTCATTTTGTTTCAATTTGCACAATGGTGTATTTCTCTGAAGACATGAATGGATACATAGAAGCAAAAAGTGTAAGTTGTTCTTTTTTTTAAAAGCAAATCCTGCATTTTTCAAATGGTTTTACTATTTTTAATCAAATAATTAACATTGAATCATTTTATTAAATTCTATCTGTACACCATATAGAAACTACTCAGTCACCCCTGAACAAAAATTGCATTTTTACCCTTTGGATATCCACTGTTTTTATAATGTCTGAGCACCAATTGTTCAACATTACACAAAGTGACTTCTCCTTCTGTTTCTTCTGTCATGAACTGATATTTAATACCTGGGAGAGAATGAGGAAGTGTTTTGCCTGTGATAATCACCTGAAAGAAACAATTTTCATTTTTCAAAGATAATTTTTTTTTTTCCATTTATCAGGATATAAAATTTAATTCCCAAAACAGCATAAAAATTTTCAAATCAAAAAAATCCAAGTTCACTTTTGTTCAGATATTTGAAATAATATAAAAAGATTTTGGATAGAGGTCACATATTTTGAAATAATATAAACATATTTTTAGGAGCCACATATTTCAAACCATGTTTGGTCAATCAAGTAAATTTAGGAGATAAACAAAAGCATTTAAAATCTGTTTTGATATTCTTTAATCAATCCTTTTAATTCCACATTTCAGAGATGAGAATATCTCTATGCTTTTTTGGATATATTCCACTCAACCAGAAAAGTGTCATTTGGAATGAAGACATTTTTAGTAGCCAAATTCTAAATGATCACAAACACAAAAGTTAATATTGTGTCTAAATTGGTTGATTTATAAGATTTTTTTTAATACTTTGTGACTCAAGCTGACTTTGATGATTAGGGAATCAAACAGAATATAATAAAAATGAAAAACAAAAAAATAACACTGTATTAAAATAAAAAGATGAATCAACAAACCAGTTTCTGGTATGCAATTATTAAACAGAAAATTAGATTTTAACTTTGTGTGTGTGTGTTTGCATGCACACGTTAAAAATGTATGTTTTTTTTTTAATTTTAATATTTAAAACTGGCAAAAATGTGTTCGTTGACAAGAAATAATTTGATGAAATGTTTCCTAATTACCTCAGGTGGTTTTTGTACCAAGATTTGTTCCATTTTGACAAATCTCCTGTGCCATTTGGAATTGGGAGCCTTGCCAATTTTCTCTGCTCGTAAAAACAAAGAAAGTCTGTAACTGGGAGACACCCAAGGATCCTGAAAAGCTTTTTCGATTACATCCAGAGCCTGTGAAATTAGAAGAAAACAATAAAAAACATTCCAATAAAAAAGAAGTTTAAGATAATTTTTAAGATTCAAGATTTTGTTTCTAGTCAGTTGTATATCAATAAAGAGTGATATTTTTTTACATTTGACCCTTATTAATTTTGAGGTCTACAAAATCCATTATTCTATCAATTATTTACACAAATATCTTCATCTTTGTTGTCTTAATCACCGATTTTAGAGGATTATTTTTTGTTTTTTTATTTCACGTGTAAAAGAAACATTTACTATTGGAATCAGTTGTTTAAACAGGAGGTAAGGGTAACAGCACCCCTCACCCTTCAAAACATTAAATAAAAAAATGATAGATGAAAAAGAATTCCAAACAATAAAGAGGGGGACACTCATCCAAATAATTCAGTGAATAGTTTTTATCAGAATTTTAAACTAAGAAAGCAAAACAACTAAAAAAAAATGTTCAAACCCAGTAATTTAGAAGTTATCTCATTGCTCACGGGAAGTGTATGTTATCTCATTGCTCACGGGAATTTAATTTGGCATGAATATACCTAATAGATAATTTTGTTGGCAGTGGACCCCCTCTGCTCCCCCACTAGCTACACCACTGTTTGTTGGCTTCCTATACTTACATGAAAGTATTTTTTTAATTATTAAGAGAATGTTTAATTGTTGAAATTTGTGTCTTGAAAAATGGTTTTATTTTAATGAATTTAAAGTCATGTTACTCGATGTGATTTATAAAAAAGAAAACTTTGTTGATATTAATTATTTAAAGCATCATGGGTTAAACTCATTCCCACTTTTTGAAGTGTTGGTATTTGTGTAGTGGGGGTTGATTTTTTTTTAATTGGACCTTTCCACCTTCATATATCGAAGAGCACAAAAGCTTATATTCGGTCCCACCATATTCTTTTGTAGCTAAGCTGAGCAACAGAAGATGAAAGAGTTCAATGTAGAAGCAAAATAAATAAATGAGCCTCAAAGAGTTCATTTATGATTATTTCCAAATGTTTCTTAAATGGAAATAAACTTTGAAAAAAATGAAAACAAAAAAAAAAAAAAATGCAAATTCTGAAAATTTTAAAAACAAATTGAAAGAGGTTGGTGTGTGGGGGAGTAAAATGTTTTGAAATGGAAGCAAAAATGAGGGGAAAACATTGGCTAAAATATTGTGCTAAAAATAACAAAAGTGAATCTCAAAATGGCGTAGAATATCTTCCATTATAGAATTTCAGAAAACATTGATTACTCTTGGTGTGAATTACAAAAACAATCACATTTGAAAATAGATTCTTTTTTTTTTTTTTTTATCTTTATCATTTCTTTAGCTTGACCCACCTTTCCTGGGCATTTAAGATGTTGATCAAGATTAAGTGTTAATCTTTCATACCATCGACCTCGATGAAGACAAGCATAGACATCTTGAGAAAGTAAACCTTGAAGAACATGGCAGGCTTCTTTGTAATTCCTCTGCCTCTGAAGCAGTTCGACACCTTGGAAGAGAATCCGAGCAAATACATAGCCACTGGTGCAGTGACGCAAAAATAATGGTAAATTCTTGTCCCACCTACAAATAGAAAATAAAGATTTGCTAAGAAAATTAAATAGAGTCTACAGATAATGGAAAATCAGATCAAATGGGCTTGAGGTATATATTTATTTTCCAGAGTAATTTAATATGGACAATATTTTAGAGAACTGAATATTATGTCTTAATTATAAATGAGTATACATAAATGTGGGCAAACATTTATTTAAATGTGTGTGTGTGTGTGTGCTATCCAAAAGTTCAGAGATATAGTAAAATAACAATTAATTTTTATGTTCTAATATTTTTTTCTTTCTTTACAAAGTTAATTTCAGAGTTGGTAAATTTTATATTGATTTTACTCTTTTAAAATAAGTTTAGCAAACAGTCTCCAAATTCAAAATAAGTTTTTCAGTTTTATGAGGAAAGATTGAAATCAAAAGCACATCCCAAAACAGTGGTGAGTATAGCACATATAAATGCACTCTGTAAACAAAAATGTAGTCCTGTAGACCCTAACATGTGCAGAGGTATCTTTCAATTGGATCCATTAAGGTGAAAGTAGTAATGAATATTTTACTAACTAGACCCTTACCATTCCATGAAAGTCAACTTCTAACAACCAAATTTGGCTTTCATTCTGATAAGAGATGCAATGATGGCATATATGTTATCAGACAACTCCAGGAAATCATACACTTATAGAAAGTTCTATACCTACTATGTTAATATCACAGCAGCTTGTGACCACATCATGCAAGACTTTCTCTTCTCATCCATCAGATGTCTCTCAAGCTCTGAATACACTGAATGCCTCAATCCAATAGGGGAACTATTTATTCACAAAGTCGTGTAGGTCTGGTGAAAACCCCAACATGAAATCATTTCAAACCGTATGAAGAGGAAATGAGAGCCGTATCTGTTTAATCACTTCCTAGACTAGGCCCTGTGTGTATAAAAAACACAGATGTCATGAAATGGACCTTGAGCATTTAAACATTCCATACCATATCCCAATCAAATTTCCTATTAGAAAACAGTGCTCCAGTTATCCCACCAGAGATAAGTGTAACAATGATAATGAGGGGGTGCTATACTGATGACACAGGTATTCATCGTTAAGACAAGAATAATCTTGAAAAAAAAAAAAAAAAAAGACTCAATATTCTTTACCACATCTTGCTAGAAGTGGGACTCAAGAAACAATGATCTAGAACTGGAATAAATGTGATGATGGCACATATCCTGAATCCATCATAAAAAATTTACAATGTGAAATTAATAAACTCTAAACTCTTCAAATACCTCAGTGTATGGATCAGTTATGACAAACTTAATATAGGTGATAAGTAGTTATGTACCATGCGTGATATATGCTTAGACGATCATGTATCTTTCAATACATGACTGATGAGGCAGATTTTTCCCCGCAGTTGGTTGCCATTTCTTTCTGCAGTAGACCAGTTGCCATCCAAAGCTATAGAACCCAGACTGTCCTGCTATTTACCCATAGCTGGGGGAGAGAAGAAGACGATTCATACCTTTCCCAAGGCTATTAGCAGGTAAGGGAATGTAATGGATTTGACTTGAATTCGAACTCAGCTCTCTGATTCCTCAATCCGAGCCACTATCTATTACTCCACAATCTATACTAGGAGAATGTTTTATCCAACATTTCAAGATGCTACAAATATTAACCTAAGAACACAAATCAGGTTCTTAAATAGCCTTGTTAAATTTAAACTCTTATACAAATATCATACATGGCATCAGATTTATCCGGAAATGTGTAAACTATCATCTGCATGCAACCATTTTCTCACATCAATGATTAAGAATGGCTTTGTGTGAGTGAATCCTCTCGCTCTTAAAGACAACCCTTCATCAGATCAATGGTGTTACAGAATCATAAAGAACTTTACCAAATAACAAATTGACATCATTTAAAGATTTCCAATAACAAAACCAACTAAAATGAATATATGTAACAAGAAGGGGAAATAATAATTATAATAAAGATGTGAACTTTCCACACTACCTTAAACAAAAGGTTAGGAAGAGAAACAATAAGAGCTGGTGGACTTGAGAAGCCTATTTTTCTAAAAATGCTATTTTATGAGAAAAATTTTATAAATTTCAACTAGAAGTAATGCTAGCTGTTCAGTCACTGAACAATGAATGTTTCCTGTATGGGAATGGCTAATCTCACCATTACCATTAGATCAGATTCATATCTAACATTGCATATTGCCTGAATTAATGCAAAAACAAACTCCTCAGCAAGAAATATTCATTCTATGGAAATAAAGCTAGACATTTCTGGACATGCCAATGATGGTCAGGCCAGTTTTGATTGTGAAATCTTTTCTCAAAGATTCTCCTCAATCTGAACGGCCAAGTTCTGTCAATATTGAGTAAACTTTAATTAAAGAAAAAATTAAGTAAACTACTTGAGAACTAGGAAAACAATTCAAGACAAATTATACATTGATCATAAAAATGCCATCAGGAACTTGGAAAAGTATCTGAATTTGGTCAATGCAATCATCATCATCTTACTGCTTCTCAGCTTAATTAATGTTTGTCATTGAAGAGAATTAAGGCCAAACCTTTCCTGGGTAAAATTATCACCAGTGATGAAAAGTGGGTTCTCTATAATAACCATTGAAAACAATTGTTAACATCCACTGAAAAAAGAAAATCTATCCTCAAACCAGGACTACACTTCAAAAAAGTTATGTTCTGTTTGGTGAGATATGAAGAATGTTTCTTATCATGAAATGTTAGACCAAGGTTAAGAATTATTGAATTAATTCAAATATCTAGCCAGATGCACCATTGCCCTTGAGCTTGTGGAGAAGGCCAGCATGCCAAACCTTTTCAAATCCCTTCAAGATATCTAAAAGACACACTGTTCTTAGACAAATTCAGCAATAACTGTTAACACATCGCAGTTGACCTAGAGAAATTAATTCAACATTCCAAAAATCAACAATTTGCTAAGTAGATAGAATTATGTGATGGATAAAGGGAAACAATATAGTGAATAAATATATCAATTAAAACAAAAAGAAGTATTTGTTACTTTTCCATCTTCAAATGCAACAAAACTTTCTTTCCAATCTAATAGTTCTCTTGGAGACAGCAATCTACCCAAGTAAAACATTCATTTTACGGCAGTTAGTTTGTACTGTTCAAATTCCAGAATTTCCAATAGCACTTTATTAATATCTACAAACAGATATAGTATAATTTACCACTGTGATTTCTCTCTCTCATATATATATATATATATATATATATATATATATATATATATATATATATATATATATATATATATATACACACACAAGTTTCATTAAAAGCTACTGACATGGTATTGAGGTTAAGTTTTTTTTATTTCTCTTGTGTTCTTATAATTTTGTGGACGTAATTTGTCAAAATGTTTTGTATGTCTGAGTGCTTTTGGCTATATTAGCCATTATCAAGGATGATTTTATTTTTACTTTTAACTGAATGTATGGATTGTTTTATGTATTTATCTAGATTTATAAGAATGTTTTCTTTTCCAAACATGCTCACCACATTGTTGCCATGTTCATAGTTGATATTATATATATATATATATATATATATATATATATGAAACAGTATTTTTAATCTTGTGATGGAATTTTGCCATTAAAAGTGAAAAAAAAAAAAAATTGTTGTTTTCTTACTGAGTCAAATCAGAATCTCCAGTGTTTTCATCATAAATCTTCTTGGCTCGGACATAGACATCAAATGCTGCTGACCAATCTTTCTTTTCCATTTTTGAAAACAATTCACTCTCCAACAAGATTACATCTGTATATCTGCACAACATTAAAACAGAACAAAAATCAAAACTATATCATGTGAGAAAATCTTTTCATATACAATTTCCAGTCTTGTTTATCAGAATCATTTTGGGAGGAAGGGAATCATACAGATATCAAAAACTGATGCTTGCAATTCATTGAGTCATGCTGTGTCAAATCAGCAAGGGTCTGAGTATCACCAACACAGACTGTTTTCAAAATTGGTACACTTATAGAGCTTCATGGTAGAAATTGAAGGGTACCTATTTTACATGTCTATGTCAGAGGGTTCTCAAGATATGACCCTTTGACCCTTGCCAAAAAGATGAATTTTGGAAAATAGTCATGAAATAAAAATAAACACCCTTATTTTTGGTTTTGTTTGCATTTTTATTATACAACAAATTGATTTTTATATAAAAAAGTGACAATGAAAATAATTAAAAAATGTCATGCATTAATGTTAAGATGACATAAAATAATATGAAAATATGCAAAAAAAAAATGATGTTAATGGTTAACAAATTTTTGTTGATACTTGACATGGTACACTAAATGTGTAAAACAATCAAATTTTCAGTATTTTTATATATATTTAAAAAATTAAGTTTTGATTTGAAAAAGTGATACTTTGAAATGAATATTTAAAAAAAGAATACTAACATTTACAAAAAGGTTAACAAATAAACCCATTGATGAATAAAATTATCAGCATTATTTGAGTTTTCTGAAAGTACTTCAACATCAGCTGAAGACCAACCACAGCCTTCTAGCATTTTTGTAGATACTGTAAATGAATTGCAACTTCTTAATGTGTCACTGTCAGTATTTGGTGAATCACCAATCAAGTGCCAAAAACTCGAAAAACAAACCAATTATGAGGACTAAAAAGTAAGAAAAATTAAAGGAACAATATGAAAGAAAATTAACTTTATTTTGACAAAAATTTCTCATCAAGAATCTACCAGTGTAGAAAAGCATAAAAGATCTGATGAAAGTTAAATTATTACACAATTAAAAAAAAAATTTTCAGCTTGTGAAAAGAGGTCCCAAAAAGTACAAATTTTGACAATACTTCCAAAAATCTGGAATATCGAAAGAATCCAAATATAGTTTGGCACCGCAACATACATAGCTAAGAAACTTGTAAATGAACAAGAAACATTAACTCTACCAAATATATGAAAATCTAGATTCCCACAAGAAACAATTGACAAAGTTTTACTGTTTTATGGGAGTAAAGAAATCAATGATGCCTTAAAAAAATGATTATAAGACAGTCTTAAAGAATGGTAGAAGAGTTCAGGAATAAAAGTATCTTGTACTCTGTAACCTGAAAGAGACATACCAATTATTTAAATCAAAAAATCCAAACAGAATTAGTTTTTCAAAATTTGCTGAACTCAGAACAAAAGAATTTTTATCCTAGCAAGTGGTGCTGGAATACACTGTGTCTGTGTTTGCACAATACATCAAAATATAAATCTGATGACTGTCGGGACTCATCTTGGTACACTGACTCAAGATGAACAATATTACAGATTACCACCAATGCATAGCTGCCATTGCATGCAATGTAGCAACCTCTAACTGCTATTTGGGTGACTGCTCAAATTGCAGCAATATATAGAAGAAATTTTAAATAAAAATTTAATAGATTATTTTATCTACAAACAGTGGCAAACAACCGATAGAACCACACTACAAAGTATCACAATCTACAGAAGAATTTATTGAAATTTTTTGCATAGGCCTTCAAACCTTGAAAAAGCATGATTTCTTTGCCAAAGAACAATCAAAATTTTGTTCTAATAAGAAAAGTTTGTTGATGGATAATAAAATCAGTTATTGCAGAGTTTGCTGAGACTTATTCATTTATTTTGCTGTATGTTGCACAAGGCTTCCACTGGAATAATTCTTAAGCCACATTACATCCATAGCTGCATGCAATGAAGAAACATCTAACTGCTACTTGGGTGACTACTCAACTTGTAGCAATTTGATGGAGGATTTTGTTTTATATATAGAAGAAACTCTAAATAAAAATTTAATAAATGATTTTTATCAACAAACAGTGGCTATCAGTTGACAGAACCAAATTAACATTCATTCATGACACTTTTTTAAAATAATTATTTTCATTATGTCACTTTTTCATATAAAAAACTGTTTGTTGTATAATAAAAATGTAAACAAAACTAAAAATAAGGTTGTTTATTTTCCACCAATTTGGTCAACATTTAACTACAAATAAGAAATTCTGTTTTATGATCATAGTTCTCATGTAAATATTAATCAACCTTCAAAGAACTTTCAAAAGATATACAATTTGACCATATTGGGAGAGATGAAAATGTCAGCACAGAGTGGCAAATAGTAAAATTCGCCATTTTGAATTTGACTCAACTCAGTAAAGTCCACCACATAATTCTGTACATATCTTAACATAAAGCATACAAATTTACTGTCAATTTTTTTTAAAAATTCAAGACATGCTTTTTGAGAAATTAATAGTCAAATGTTAAGGTCATTTTAATTTAGCTTTGTAGATGAAAAAACAACTGAGATATTGATATTTAAACTTTGTTTCCAAAATTCCCCTTTCTGGCAAGGGTCAAAGAGTCATATCTCAGAAAGTCTTTGACCTAGAGATGTAAAATAGGTACCATTCAATTTCTAACATGCAGCACTATAAGTGTACCAAATTTGAAAAAAAACTGTTGGTGATGGTCAGACCCTTGTTGATTCGACACACAATGACTCCACTCTAAAAGACAAATACAGAACTTTGTCAAAATGAAGATTTTTATCCAAAGACTTAAATCCAAGGTTTTGAATCAGAAAAAAATAAATGAAACATTTTTCTTTTATTTCTCATTTACAAATAACAAATACCTAAAAATAGGAAAAATCAATTTCAAGATTTTCAGTTCCATGCTCTACCACTGAGACATGTTTTTTAAAAACAGTGATCACCATTCACAGTCAGAACAAAGATAATTGAATTTTTTAGGATTAAAATTTTAAGTGTTTTTGAAGTTCAGTCAGTTATGTAACATGCGTTACCATTTCTTTCTGCAGTAGACCAGTTGCCACCGAAGGCTATAGAACTTGGTCTGTCCTGTTATTTACCCATAGCTGGGGGGGGGGGGTAAAAGAAGAGGATTCATACCTTTCCCAAGGGCCAGTCAGTCAGTTATCTGACATGTGTGATACACGCTTAGGTGATCATGTATCTTTCAATACATGACTGACAAGGCAGATATTTTTCCCCACAGTAGGTTGCCATTTCTTTCTGTGGTAGATCAGTTGCTATCCAAGGCTATAGAACCTGGTCTGTCCTGCTATTTACCCATAGCTAGGGGGTAAACGAAGAGGATTCATACATTTCCCAAGGGTATTAGCACATAAATAAATATAATCAATTCGACTGGAATCCATTTGGAGTTACAAAAATAAATTTTCATTTTTTGATGAAATATTTTTGTTTTAGATTTGTAGAATGGAACATTAAAATACTATCATGTAATTTGCAATGCAATTCAAATATAAACCAGATAAAAATGCTTACTTGACGAAATCTGCTTTCTGTCGAAAAATCTTGGTCTTTTTAAAGACTGTATATTGAGGAAATACAACATTACCAAGATTCACTTGTAACATCTGAAATCTAAAATGAAATACAATTCATAAAGGATTTCTTTCAAATGGTAAAATTAATTCCACATTCAAATATATTATTCTAATTGATACTTGATGCCTTTCAGATCATAAATAAAATAATATTAACAGCTGTAGGTCATTACCCACCATCATTTCCTTTATATTTAAAGTCAACATTTAAAACAGATGGCAATATTTCCCCACATATTTCTAAACACAGTGTTTACTTCATATAAAGGAAGATTAATTAAAAGATGAAATTAGATTTTACTCATTTCTAATATTGTTTGTTTCTTTCAAATATTTGGCTAAATAATTCCTTAAATTAAAATATTTATGCCCAAGTCTACGTCTCTAAAAGAATAGTACTCATCATGTCTCTAATTTCCATGCTGCATCTGAACAAACAGATTCTAATTCATTGTTCTCTACCATATACAAAATGACAAGATTCTTTTCAAACTTAAAATCTAGAACTTTTGTGCAGATTATGATTCATGAGTAAAAGTTATTCTTTCTAACAGGGAAGAATTCATAAACATTACCTTTTGCTATTAATATAAATTTTAAAACTCAAAATTAAACTTTCTAAACATTTCACTATTGTCCTCATCTTTGTCGCCATATTTATTACAATGTTTCGGCCGCTGTACACTCCGGCATTCTTCAGGTGATAGGAATGTCAAATTGAACCCTTTATTTCCCCTCACTGGAGTAGACTGTTCTAGTTCCACGTGCCATATTTAATGGATGTCAGTTATCTCCTATTAATTCCCCTCTCCAAGTTCTCCACTGCCTTAACTGGGTATTGAATTCACTCTTTGGGTCCTGTCAATGGATCTAACCAACACATTTATCCACTGTGCGATGTGTCCTTGTATATGAATTTCTGGGTATTATAAACCTAATGTCTCAGCAACATTTTTTTACCAGTGCTTATTTTTGTAGGTTATCAGTAGTTATTTTTGCGGTTATCATTACATGTTTTTACCAGAGCTCATATTGTACTTTTTGTTATTATTGCTTTTCTCTGGCACTCCTTGTTACTGGTTCCCATACTGTATTCATTTCTATGCTTGGTTGGCTCAGGTGGCCTAGCATATGTGCTGATTCCTTAAGTTTACAAATTTTCCAATGGTGTTCTTTATCTATGATCTCAACCTGATCTCACAGGGAGCAGTGATCTCCCTTTTCTCTCCATATGTGGTCAGCCATCACTGATTTTTCCACTTCCCCACGTGTTACAGCTTTCTGGTGTTCTTGAAGCCTTACTTCAAAGGGGCGGCCTGTCTCCCACAATAGTCCGAATAATGTAAATAGTGTACATAATACATCATCTCATAAATATAGACAGATACAGAAAAGATTTCATATACAAATGTGATAGAAATTTTTTTTTATTATACAAAGACAAACAATTCATTTTATAATTTTTGCATTCAAGAATTTGATAAAGAATTATGAAATGCAGAAAAAGTATAAAGTCAGATACTTACAATTTGCCAGAAATACTGTCCGCAGTGTCTTCATCAATTGTGGTGTTGCTCAAAGAAAACAATGCCAAAAATCTCAGAAATATAACTCGTACAGATTCTACTAACTTGAAACAAGGACCTAAGAGCTTTTTAGACCTGAAACAATTCAAACATGTACAATTATTTAAAAAGATTAAAAAATGTTCAAAGAAAATAAAAAAAAAAAAATGTGGAGACATTGTAAATATAAAGATGATGAAAAAAGGAGAGAATTGAAGCTAGGTCAGTTGTAAAGAAATGTAGTTAAACAAATGGAGGATGTGTGGGATGGCGGGGTAGTTTTATGAAATGAGAAGGATCTTTCAGTGAAATGGATAAAAATAAGTCACATGAAAAACAACTTTTTAAAACTGAAAAATTTATTTTCCTGTTTTTTTTTTTTTTGCAGTTATTTTTGTTATTTTTATAAATGTACTTACCAGAGCTGAAATTGCCATTCCATCCTTGCAGCTATCTACTAAAAAAGAACTGTGACAAATACTGCCAAGTTTTAAATAATGAAAACTAAGTGGGTACTTGACATATTTTAAAAAAATAAGCAACCAAAACTGACAAATGATTCACAAGAAACTAATGCAAATAAATGCAAGTTTTCTGTAAAAAGTAGAAAATTTAACTTCTCCACAGTTTAAACATTTTTAGAGACTACACAGAACTTAGCCATATACAATTTCAACACTGATTTTCCAGCACCTTTGGGTTCAAATAAGACAGTAAACTAACAATTTTTTCAAAGTGAAGGAGCCAAGCTAATTCAACAACACATCTTTGATTCCTTATTCTATTTCATTCAATTCTATTTACAATTTGTTTCTCTAAATATTACTGGAAATTTCTATTAGTAGAAAATATCTGTATTTTCTACTTTTTTTTTTTGAAATCATTCAAAAAGTTGATGAGCATACACTCCACAAAGAATAAGAATGGTCAAGATTTTAAAACTTGGACAGATCAGTATTTGAGGTGATAATAAAGGCAGTCATTAACATTTGCCCTTCCTTCTGAAACCTATATAAAGCTGAAATGAAAGCAAAGTGAGGTAACAAGGTGAGGTGCTGAGGCATGTAACCACCTCCGAAAGAGGATTCAGGCAGTCAGTAAATTACTGATAGAAATAATGTATAATTATTTTATGATGCGAGTCTGTGAGAAAACTAAAGGAAAAACTGTTGCTTAAATCTGAAAAGGTGGGGAGTAAATTGAAAGAAGGAAAAAAACATTAGTTAAAAATGTTAATTACAATAAATATGAAAACAGTAGTAATGTTTGAACTGGTGAATAATTTATTTACATGAAGATTGTTTGTTGATGTTATCACATTTTGGTCCCTTTGTTCCTTGGCATTCATCAGGTGCTTGTTAACCTAGTTAAACCTCAGTGAATTTAATCTAAGGGAGTAGATTAAATGTTCCGTTGACCATGTTTAAGGATATCTCATCTAGTTCTTATTTAGTAGTGTTCACTTTTGATACATGACTAACAAGGCAGTTTTTTTCCTGCAGTAGTTTGCCAATTTTTTTCTACAGTTGCCATTCAAGGCTACAGAACCTGGTCTGTCTTGCTATTTACCCATAGCTGGGGGGAAGAAGAAGAGGATTCATACCTTTCCCAAGGGTATTAGCACATAAGTGAATGTAAGAGATTCGACTGGAATTTGAACTCGGCTCACCAATTCTTCAATCCAAGCCACTATCCATTACTCCACTGTGACTCCTCCATGTCTAGCTATTGTAAATAAAGCTTACGTAAATTTAATGTTAAATTGTAGTGGGGAAACCCACCAATTCAGCCAATGAGAAAAGCGGCCTTATGTAGCATGTAGGCTGGCTTACTGAGTGCTATATACCATACCTATGAACACTAATGGGTATGTCCCAATCCTGATAAATACATTGGTAAATGGGGGTAATATGGTGTCTATGTAGTCCACCACTAGCAGTGGTTTACCTACTTCATGCTGCTGGCGAGTATTGTATTTTGTTGATATTATAAAGATTACCATTTGATTTCCAATCTCCGTTTTGGTTATTCCTCATTCAGTAATCCTTTTCTAGGTTACAACAGTTGACATTGTGAAAAACTGAGCACACAAACAGATATCACAATGTATGTAAATTTGCCAAACCAACCAATGGTTGATGTCCCAAGATAACAAAAGGCCGGTGCTGTTCACTGAACAGCAGTAGAATTTCTGATGTGACAAGGATGTTAGGTAACAGAGAAGGATGTCAATTAATTGCAAGGACTTGTACTATCACAGAAAACTTTTGCTGCAAACTATTTCAGCAGTTTTTTAATAATGGCAGATAAAAAACGTCATACCAGAATTTAATGGCTCAAATCTCAACTAGTTTATCACCAAATGGATCAGAAATATTAAGTTAGTATGTGAATAAAGTTGAACAAGTGCTCCCACCAAACCTGATGGTCAATGCATTTGCAGTCTACCAGCAGTTAAGTGAAAAGGAGAGAAATCATGACCAGGTGAAAATGTATACCAATTTTAGTATCAAGACATAGGACACGTGTAACAAGAATGTCTAGGAAAATGAGATAGGGGACAAAATGTCAATACCTGTCTGCAATCAATTTAAAACAAACTTTTAAAGTAACAAAAGAGAAAAAATGCCCACCTGTCAATCATAGCCATTTCTGCTTGTTTCTGTCCATTTAAAGCAAAAAACATCGAACTTGTGGATGCCTTTTTGATGTGATTTATTAAAAGATCTGCAATTTGTGACTTTGTAAAATTGATGCAATTGTAATGGAAAGATTTTGCAACCGTTTTCAGCTCAGCCACAGGCAATAACGCAAGCACTTCAGGCAAATCAGTCAAGTGTTTTTCTGAAAATCAACAAACGTATAAATATATGTGACAACAGTGGAGAAGTAAATCAAAAAATGATGTCATTGATTTTACAATTTAGGAATATTTTTTTTATTTTTTAAATCCAGAAACATTTATCATGTTGAGGTTTACAAATTCTCCAATCTCACAATATGGCCGACTAATGTTTCCAAGCCATCTGTCTCTTGTATATTTTTTCTACCTGCTACACCACTAAAACTCCAAACATTTTCAAAATTAATATTTAAATATTATTTAATGTGGAAATGGATTTTTTACGTTCAACTTTTATTTTTACCGAAATGATTAAAGAAAACTCTCATACATTTTCCAAAGATAAAACTTTCCATAAATTCCTAGAAAGAATTTTCAGATTTTTTTTGTTTTGTTTTTTTTTGGCTCTTTCTTTTAAACATTTTACTTATTTCAAATTTTTAGAGATTGATATTTGCCAAGCAAACTGGATTTAAAAAAGTGACACTTACACTCTGACTGCTCATGTCATACAAGTAACAACTTCAAGATGACTGGCAATGGAACAGATTTTTCCTAAACACAAAATGCATGAATAAATAACAATCATTTAAAATTATGTCCAGTTTTACACTTGGAACCATGTTACTCTCCTAGTTTTTAATTCAAAGAAAGAACAATTATTTATCAAATAAAAGACAACATTTATGATTAAGAGAAAACTTAGAATTAGTATTTTTAAGATGAGCCCTGTTTACATCAATGATTGATGCAACACAATCTTCTCACCTCCATTTCACACTATTTAAACAAGAATATATCAAAGAAAGAACTTTGAGGCAATAAATTCAGTCAAATTTTGTGGATTAACAAGTTTCCAAGTAGGTAACCCAACCTAAAATTTTATTTTCAATATATCTAAAAACCTTTAATACTGACAGAATGCTTGATAAAAGATACAAAATGATATGAAAGTTGGCCATCATCCTGTGACTTTTGGGTCAGAAGCCAATTTTCACAGTGTATAAGTGATCATGCAGGCTTCAAACAAGTGAAAAATCATTATAAATGTAATTTCAGATTTTAGGAATCTTCAAGTAAAAGAAAAATACTAATAAAACCAATAATTATTCAATCCAATCAAGCTAAACATTGGGAAAAATTGTGTTCTCAAAAATGAAATAGTTAAAAAATGACACAGATCAATTCTGACTGCTCATATACATTTTATTTCAATAGTTAATGCATTGCAGATTCTTGCTATGATTCATAACCCAACAGAGATGAAGCTAATCTTTTTTTTCAGTAATACATCAATAAAATTGACAGCTTGTAAAAAACAGTCAGAAGCAGAAGTTGACATTAGGACAAAAACAGATCAAATGTATACATTTCTGAACTTGCCGTAAAATGTATTCATGCCTGAAACTTTGAAAGTTTCTTAATTTGGGGATAAGGAAATCAACAAAACAGCTCTTTTCTCTGTCATATGAATACCTTTGTTATAGATATATCTAATTTTGGAAAATTATACAATTCTGTCAAAAAAGGAAAGTAATGACTACAAGACATGGTACGTGGCACTAGAACTAGAACAGTTTACCCCAGTGAGCGAAATAAAGGATTTGACATTCCAACCACCTGAAGAAGGCCGGAGCATACAACAGCCGAAACATTGTGATAAACATGGTGACAAAGATGAGGACAATAGTCTGAATAATGTAAATAGTGTAATGATTGCAAAACTTAGAAATTTGTTTCATGAAATGAATCATTAGTCAATCCTTCAAACAAATGTTTCTTGTAAAGCTTGAAACTCATAACCTGAAGGTTATTTTCTTCAGTCTCGTCTTTCACCATCTTTGTTTACATCTTGTGTGTTTTTTTGAGTTGAATAAAACCTTAATCATCCAAAGGTATTTTCTTCAGTCTCATCATTCACCACATAAATGCTAGAGTTGTTTGAATACTCAGATTCACTGAGTGCCTTCTCTTCCTTCCTTTGTCTCTTTAGAGGTGAAGATGAACTTCCATTAAAAGTTATGTCACTGTAATGTCTATTCCCTCAACACATAGTTTTTTTTAGTTTTTTTTACATTGTACTGAATTTGGAGTCTTCTTCAGCTGCTTCTCCCACAGTAAATTACTTCTCAAGGGTGGGAAGTTCATAAACCATGGAACAGAAAATCAAATGCAGATTTTATTAAACATCCAAGTAGAGATCTCTGGCATGGAAAGTACTAATATATAAAATAAATATAAAAGTTGAACTGATAGCTATTTAAAAAAAAAAAAAAAAAAAAAAAAAGAAAGATGTTATACTTATTATCTTCCAGAAGGGTTTAAGAATAAAAAAAAAAAAACATTACATAAAAACAATGCATGTTAGCTAAAGTTGAAGCACTATAAAATGTATCCATTTATTTTTTTTTAAGAAAATAGGACGTCATTCTTAGAATTAATAAAAAACAATAATCAATAAAAGAAAAAGGAAAATGATTAAATTTTAAAATTTACCTAATTACATATCAATTTTATGAACCCAAGCACCAAACCTAAAACATATATTAGTCATTTTTTTTATTTTACTTTTTATAAAATGTATCCAGTTTCATTTTTTAAAATATGTAAATTTAAATTTTTAATTTAATCTCCAAATCCCATGAATTAAAGAAAATCTTGTCAGCCACAAATAAAATGAATGACCATAAAAGGAAAACTGGACACATTTTTTTTATTTTAATTTTTATTTTATCAAATGTGAGAGTGCAAAATTTCAAGAACTAAAAATGTATCCTGTTTATATGTTTATTTTATAATATGAATTCTGTTTAATGTTTTTTCTTAATATATAAAAACAACAATCGAGACAGGGTTAGAAAGTGATTTGAGCATGACAGTTTAGACAAAATACAACATATAAGTACTTTATACAGTTTTAAAATGCATCATTAAAGAAAATATAAAAAAGATTTAAACTGTAATATTCATCAATGAAACAATTCTGATTTAAAATTGGGTTCAGTTGGCAATGTTCAATCACTAAGTCAGAAATACAAAACAAATTTTGATGTGTCAGCAATTTTGCAGAAAATGAACACAGTAAACCCTCCATTTTATTTGCATATGCCTCAAGTTGTATTGGCAGAAATATGAAACCAATGGATTATTAAAGACAAAACATTGCTTTACAAGGATGTTCAACTTTCATTTTAAGAATTGAAGTTCTCTGGTATTTCATCCACTAAAGTTTTCAACTAAGAAAGTTTTAAGAAAACAACTTCAAACCTTATCTTAAACCCACCAAATTGACAAGCATCTTTCTTTCCTTAAGACGAGACTATTTTGATATGTGTAGGAAGACAACTTGGAGCACAAAAAGTTTGAAAAACACCACTATGATACTATCAGCTTTGAAAATGTGGAAAAACAAGCATCCATCATTGAAGTAGTTACATAATTTAAAGAGATGTAGAATAAAAACTAATCATACATGAGAAAGAATTGTATCTTTATGAAGAGAAAAAATTAAATTTTGTTTACATATTAATTTTATCAAAATAACCTAAAAAAGAAACAAGATATCAGCAGTTGAAATTGATGGAAATTTCACTATTTTGAAATATTTTGGCAAGGTAAACTAGGGCAGTTTGGGGTACCTATTCCAAAGTTGAAGTAAAAAGAAACCAGCAGGAGTCAATGGATTTAACCAATCAGAAATTAGCAGTTTATATTCAGCCAATAAGTGGCAGAGAGCAATGGTCAACCTTGAAATATTAATAATTATAATAATATAGAATTTTGTTTATAGATGAGAAAAATAATCTGTGGTGAAGTTTGTGCTCAGAGAATCTGTGCTTCATCAGAATTATTAATATAAAATGTCAAAACAACAGTGTTTATACGAAATATGGAATACCAATTGAGAAGAAGAGGCTGCTCATTTAATCATGAAGGTGGAGAGGTCAGTAATCAGGTTGTATTCTAAGTTACCAACACCCCAGGTTTTTGTTGCTGCCACCACATTTGCTTAAGCATGTGTTTGTGCAAAAACAGTCAGAGTCAAAACTGAATCTTCCGGGATCAACGATTTGTTAATTGCTCTCTAGAATCAAAAAAAATCACAATGTGGCTGTAAAGTGGAATCTAATCAACATTGTGAACTGGAGACTTTGACTGAATCTGTAATACTGGACCAGGAAAGGACCAACAGCTGGTCTTGTAGAGTACATCGATCCAGTGGGGTCAGGATAGGTGTTACAAATATAATTGTAGCTAAACATTTTTGAAAATAGTTTTTGAATGATTGATGTTTTTTTTTTGTTTTTTTTTTACAGCTTATTAAAATTTTGTCGGTTTTCTGAAACCAAAAGTTATTTTGGATTGTAAGAATAGTCTTTTTTTTTTGCAAGTGAATATTGCATTAACGATTTTTTGAAAACAATGATTTTCCAGATACTAGTTCTACTATTTAATCCATAGAGGGGGTAAGGGGGAGAAGTTATGGATTCATGTCTTTCCGAAAATTATTTGCACATAAAAGTACTGAACCCAACAGGAATTTGATCTTGTCTCTCTGATTTCTCATTCATAACTGCTATCTAATACACCACCTGCACGTCAACTTTTGAAAATAGGAAAAAATCAGATTTAAAAAAATATATAATAGAAATCCAAAAGAAACTATATTTAAATAGACTGTAAGAAAGATGTTTATAAATCAACAAAAACAAAGTTTTAAATAATTTTTATAAAGATAAAATAGAATAATCAGGAAAAAATCTACAATTATCAAGACCTTATTAAAATTTAGTTATTCTACATATATTTAATATATAAATTTTCCTGAACTAAAAGAAAAAAGATGAGAAAGAGAGAAATAAATCTTCAATTCTATTTTTATCTGCAAAAATAACTTAATAATTTGATCCTTTGATTTTTTTATTATCAAATTTTGTTCAATTTGACCAATTCCCCAATCAACAGGTTCTCCCATTTTCTCCTGAAACATTCTTAACAAACACCAAACTTTTACATTTGGTTCCATGAATTTATTAAACTGTAAGATTCTTGTTGAGAAAAGAAAAGTTTTCAGCATTATCCAAAGACCTCCAGATGTAACATATCCTTAAACAAGGCTGGAAAATAAATTCACTTAAATACTGTGTTAAAAACAACAAAGATGCAGATACTCATTTAAATAATGTGTTAAATAATGAAAAGACTATCCAAGAAATTGAGACAAAAGTTAATTCAACTAACCTGACATTCCAAATCCAACATCAACAAGTTCTTTCAAATAACTGGACAAGTCTTCAGCAATTTGTGGATACTTCACTTTGGACTGCATTCGCCAGGTTAACTTTCGTGCAAACAGGCGTACATACAACTTTTGACTACATTCTGTCATTATGAAACAAATAAATATGAAAGAAACTAATGCATTTTTTTCAAGTATAGACACAAATATAACTTTCTTTTCATTAAAAAAAAAAAAAAGATTAAAGCTGAGATGCAAGTTGATTAAACTGACTTACATACCTGAAAGTAAATGAAATTTTTTGACAATATCTCTATCCTCATTGTCAATAAGGGAATCATATTCTTCATCTTGAAGCACTTGTGAGATTATCATTTTGAAATTCTCCAAATAATAAGGCATATGAAAGACTTTTTCTTTATTTTCATCAACTTCTCCATCTTCTCTGATGGTTTCTACATCTTCATCCACTGAACTTTCCCCTTTTCTATTTAACTTTACTTTTTTGGGATCTATCAAAGATTGTTTTTCAGAATTCTTTACATCTTCATATGGACTTTCTGAAGACTTCTTTCTTTTCTTTAAAAAATGAGGACCATTTTCAGAACTGGCAGGAACTGAGGAATTCAAATCTATCTCAATGACATTTCCTTTGGAATATTCTTCTTTGTTACAAATCTCTGAATCTTTTGAATTGTGAGAGCTCGGATGACTTTGAGGGTGAATTTCATTTTGCGTTTTCTCCGTTCTTGTTGCTTCCGATTTAACAAGGATATCAAAACAGTTTGACGATTCATTTTCTGATTTGACGTCATTTGTTTTTGGCGAAAAATGTTTTGAAGTTTTTAAAGACAATCGTTTCTTACTTGGGGGAATTTTTTTTTGATTATCAAAATCATTCTTTTTAGACGAAACAAGATGGCAGGAAACAAGCTGTTCATCTGCATCTACAAATTTACAATCTTTCTTATTATCAATTTCCTCAGCTTTCTTTTCACATATCTTTTCTGAATTTGATGCACATTTTAAATCAGTTATCATATTTGGATCTACAAAAAAAAAAAAAAAGAGATAATTAAATATTATTTAAATTAAATTAAATATTAAATAATTGAGTTTTTAAAAAACACAAAGAAATGATTTTGAAATATAAATTCCAAAAGGATTGAAAGTGAATATCAGTAGCTTTCAAATCACTTTATAACATCATCCTACCAAAACTGTTTTAGGGAGGTGTGTTTAAGTGGTCTTCATTTTCCCAAAACAATTTGCAAGTATTTTACAAAAAATAAAAAATTACAGAACTATTAATTCAAAAATTTTTTTTTTAGAAATCAATTAAAATTTTTGAACATGCAAACTTCAACTATTCATCTGATAAAAAAATCAAGTGAGAATGGAAAGTAAAAACCATCTTGACCTTCAAGTAGAAATGAACAAAAGTTTTAAATAAAAAAATTAATTTAACATACTGCTACATATATATGTTATACTTTTTTTATCAAATTTATTCCACCAAAATTGTCCTTAATCTTTTAAGCAGAAATGCGAGTGAAAAAAAATAAAACCTACCTTGAAATTTTCTCAAACTTAAACGGCGTTTGCATAAATTTCTTAATGGATAGTTTGTAGAATTTTGTTTTTGTTGAGGAGAAAAATAACTGGATTTGATTTGTATTTCTTGTTTGGTAGGGTCAGTTTGTTGGTTAGGAGAATTTTGATCATGTGTTGCTGTCTTTTTGGAGAAAAAATGTGTAATTGTTGATTGATTGTCTTTTATTTTTTTGTCTCTCTGCAAACTTTTCCCAGCCATCTACAAAAAATATAAAATATTTTTTCAAGTGTTTATTCCATATATTTCTATATCATTTAAACTTCAAAATTATCACCATGTTTACAAAAAGCCTGTTCTTAAAACCTTCCATTCATCTTTTTCAATTGTTTTAAGGTAATATAGAAATTAAATATAGAAAATTAAAAAAGAAAAAATATTTCTTAAGTATAAGCAAACTCTCCTCCATGATTATATTTTTTGATATGCTTATGCATTAATGATACTGTAAACTGTTACATTTGTCACAGCAATAGATAGATATGAACATACTGAGATAGGTAGATAGATAGATATAAATAAAATGATAGATAGATAGATATTAATAAAATAGTAGATAGATAGATAGATATTAATAAAATAGTAGATAGATAGATATTAATAAAATAGTAGATAGATAGATATTAATAAAATAGTAGATAGATAGATATTAATAAAATAGTAGATAGATAGATATTAATAAAATAGTAGATAGATAGATATTAATAAAATGATAGGTGTTAATAAAATGGTAGGTAGATAGATATCTGAAAAATATTTTCTAATTATAATAAATTCAACGCGATTGCGATTACTGTACAAGTCATATCGTAAGGGAGGTAATTCAGGTAACATCAAAACGCCTAAAAATGCTAAAGTAATCAAATTTGTATATGTTAAGAAAAATTTGTATATCTTCTAAAATACAGAGATTTAACACACAGAAAAGCCATACTTTAATCCAAGAGTTCCTTATTTTACAATGTTTTTAATGTAGATTATGATATTTCAACAAGAATATTTTTATAAAAATATCTTCAGTTAATAATTACATAACTTAGGACACCTCTTGCAAGCTGATCTTACAAATCATTTCTAATGAACACAGAATTTGACCCTCACTAAGTGTTCCATACTTGTGAAAACTCTGAGCTATACTTAATAGTTAAAATGTACACAATTTATCTGAAGAATATTTCAAACAATTTAATAATATGACAATAAAGATAAGGACTGTAGTCTAAACAATGTAAATAGTGTAAATAATTTAATAAAAATATATCATAACAAAGTTCAGTGTACCACTCCAGTGAAACTTATTGGGCAAATGTGTTTAGCAAGGCTGACCATACATGGTAGGGTACCTGTTGCATAGATAATCTTGCAAGTCATTGCATGATACAAACTTAGGCGATCATGTATCTTTTGATACATGACTGACGAGGCAGTAGGTTGCCATTTCTTTCTGCAGTAGACCATCCAAGGCTATAGAACCCGGTCTGTCCTGCTATTTACCTATAGCTGGGGGGAGACGAAGAGGATTCATACTTTTTTCAAGGATATTAGCACGTAAACGAATGTAATGGATACGACTGGAATTCAAACTCAGCTCACCAATTTCTCAATCCACTATCTATTACTCCACCATGCCTCTCCTAATCTAATAATACTAATCTAATACTAATCTAAGCTTTAATAGCGCTGAAATTAAAGGATAAGGAATTTTTACCCAACCCCCAAAATTCAAAACGGATCAGGCTTCTTGAGAAATAAATTGGTCTTAATTTCTCACTAAACAGATTTAAGATTTCCATTTCTTGACATATGGTTGAGGCAGGTTGGACTGCTAATATCAATGAAAATTATTCCTTACCATTCTGGGATAAATTGGACAAAACTGAAACAAAACTTTGTCACATTACTTTTCTCTACATGAAAATGGCATTTTCCACTTAGACAGCTTCTGTCCTGAGAATGGCTACTTTGTGTAACAGATTCCAGACAGGCTGCTTCCCTGATCACAATTTAACACCCCTTCAAGTCTAGGATCAACCATTATCTAGACTATATATCCTCATAATTTCCACTTACTTCCTACTTCCTAAAACTTCACTCAGTAATGCTCTATCTTGAGTGTCACTTGGGCCTTGTATTTGGTGAATATTTAGGTACCACAGAAATGAATGAGATTTTTCCAAAATGAAAAAAAAAATAAAATAAATCACTACCCCAGTTTAAAATATTTGCCAAAATTCAGAGAATTATTCAAAGTAAATATTTAGTATTTATTCTTTAATGAATGAATTGCATATTGAATAGATTATTTTATTAGAAAACTTTGTGGGGATATTTTTTGTAGGTCTGTTTCACCCCTGCCCTTTGATATCTCGTTTACTTTTTAATGGGGGGGGGTAGGTCAAAATCTTTCTAGAGTTATATAAAGAAAAATTTCTGAAGATGTTATTTCAGTAAAAAAAAAAAAAAATATGCAATATCAAGTGTGAAAATACTGAAAATTTGATCTGAATCTTACAAAAAAATAATTCAAAAGTCAAAAAATAAATTCTTAATAAACTTATTATTTTCTTTCAGATTGTACAGAAAAAAAGATACACTTAATATTTTCAAAATAAATTACTTATTATTTTTCAGTGCAATTTTGAAATTCAGTCCTTTACTGTTCATAACTGTTTTTGAATTAAATAAAGTCATGCCTGAAGAATAAAAAATGTAAAGTTTAATGTCATTTACAAAGTTTTTTTTTAATTTTAGCAACTCTTAAATTATTTTTGTGTATGTTTAAAAAAAGATATAATTTTGAATTCTTTGGTTGAATACTCATGATATATGAATATGATAAGTCAATAAATTTTTAATTAAGAAGAATTTTAAAAAACTACATTAAGTACAATTAAGTATCTTATGACATCATACAGATCAGAAAATAAAAAAAATAAAAGCAACATATTAAACTCAAAAGTATGATTTTAAAAATAACTTTTCTATTGTATAAAAAAAGAAAATTATTCATTACTAAGTTTCATAAAATCATATAGAATAAAAACATTATACAGTCATTCCATGTGAAATCAACAAAAGTGGGACCAACACCAACACAGATTTTTTTCAAATTTGGTACACTTATAGAGCTTCATCATACGAATTGAATGGTATCTGTTTTATATCTTAAAGTCAAAGGGTTACCAACATATGACCCTTTGACATTTACAAAAAAGGTGAATTTTGGAAAATAGTCACAAAGCTTAAATATCAATATCTCACAAAGGTAAATTATATAGCATTTAAAGTACTTGGATAGATCTAAAAGATGATCTATCTATTTTTTGTTGTTTATAGGTCAAATAAGATAATTTGACCTTAACCTTTGACCTTTAATTTCTCAAAAAGCAAATCTCTCATTTTTTTTTTTTTTTGCCTTCCTTATGGCAAGATATGTACAAAATTTTGTGGTGGACTTTTGACTGTGGCCTGAATTACAAGACTTTTACTGAGTTGGGCCAAATTCAAAATGGCAGATTTTGCTATTTGCCACTATATGCTATCATTTTCATATCTTCCAATATAGTCAAGGTGTATATCTTTAGAAAGCTCATTGAATGCTGATTAAAAAAAACTATGATCATAAAATCAACAGAATTTCTTTTATTTGTGGTTAAATGTTGGCCAAATCGGTGGAAAATAAACAACCTTATTTTTGATTGTTTACATTTTTATTATACAACAGAGTTTTATAAAAAAAATGACATAATGAAAATAATTATTTAAAAAATGTTAAAATGACATAAAATAATATGAAAATATGCAACAAATGATGTTAATGGTTAACGAATTTTGTTGATATTTGACATGGTATACTAAATGCACAAAACAATCAAATTTTCAGGTCTATTTTCATATTTAAAAAATTAAGTTTTGATCTTAAAAAAGTAATACATTGAAATGAATATTTAATAGAAAAATGACTACAAGACAGTCTTAAAGAATGGTAGAAGAGTTCAGGAATAAAAGTATCTTGTACTCTGTAACCTGAAAGAGACATACCAATTATTTAAATCAAAAAATCCAAACAGAATTAGTTTTTCATAATTTGCTAAACTCAGACCAAAAGAATGTATCCTAGCAAGTGGTGCTGGAATACACTGTGTCTGTGTTTGCACAATACATCAAAATATAAATCTGATGACTGTTGGGACTCATCTTAGTACACTGACTCAAGATGAACAAAATTACAGATTACCACCAATGCATAGCTGCCATTGCATGCAATGAAGCAACCTCTAACTGCTATTTGGATGACTGCTCAAATTGCAGCAATATATAGAAGAAATTTTAAATAAAAATTTAAAAGATGATTTTATCTACAGTGGCAAACAACCAATAGAACCACACTACAAAGTATCACAATCTACAGATGAATTTATTGAAATTTTTTGCATAGGCCTTCAAACCTTGAAAAAGCATGATTTCTTTGCCAAAGAACAATCAAAATTTTGTTATAATAAGACAAGTTTGTTGATGGATAATGAAATCAGTTATTGCAGAGTTTGCTGAGACTTATTCATTTATTTTGCCGGATGTTGCACAAGGCTTCCAATGGAATAATTCTTAAGCCACATCACATCTATTTGTCTGTTCTTACAAAAATGACAAAAAGCTGAAGCATATTAATATTGTAATTATATCAGATTGTTTCAAGCATGACTGACATGGTAGCTGTTCATCTGTTCCAAAGAAAACTTATAGAAGTACTGAAAAAAATATTAATTTTAAAAAATCTGATCTATTTTTCTGATGGTGTCACTTCACATTATAAAAATGTTATCAATTTGTGCAACCATAAGACTGACTTTGGTATTGATGCAGAGTGACACTTTTTTGCTAATCTCATGGGAAAGGACAATGTGATGGGTTAGGTGGCACCATTAAGAGATTATCACCAAAAGCAAGCCTGCAGCAGCCGTATAATGAACAAATAATGGCACCAAGACAATTGTTTGATTATGCAAGAAAAAACATTTCAGGCATAAATACTTTGTTTCCTCAATAAATGAATGAACAAATGAAGCAGAAATCTTAGAAAATAGATTTAAAAAATGCCTCAACAATTACAGGAACTCAAAAAAGACTGGAAAAGGTAGAAATAAAAATAGTATCAACTCAGGATGAAAAAAAAAATAGTTAAAATTATAAAACAGGATAATATTGGGCTTGAAAACATTAAGGGATTTGTTACAACAATCTGATAGAAACTGGTGGTTAGGATGTGTGCTTGAAAAATATCTTGATAATGAAGAGGTAAAATTGACATTTTTACAATTGAAGATTCCTTCCCCATCTTTCTGTTCAGTGTTATCCATTACATCCAGATAAAAATGTATTGTAAACAAAACCAAAAAATTATTTTCCACCGAAATGGTCAACATATAACAGAAATTCTGCTGATTTTATGATCATAATTCTTATGTGAATATTAATCAGCATTCAAAGAGTTTCCTAAAAATATGCAACTTGACCATTTTGGGAGAGATGAAAATGTTAGCATAGTGTGGTAAATACCAAAATCTGCTATTTTGAATTTGGCCCAACTCAATAAAACCCTTGTAACTCAGTTCACAGGCAAAAGAGGAACACAAAATTTTGTTCATATCTTGCCACAAGGCAGACAAATTTGTTGTCGAATGTAAAAAAAATTGAAGACACACTTTTTGAGAAATTAAAGGTCAAATGTTAAGGTCAAATTATCTTATTTGACCTATAAACAAAAATAAATCACCTTTTAGATCTATCCAAGAACTTGAAAATGGTAAATAATTTAGCTTTGTAGGTGAAAAAAACTGAGATATTTAAACTTAGTAACTATTTACCAAAATCCAACTTTTGGCAAGGGTCATTCTCAGGAACCCTTTAAAATAGGTACCATTCAATTCGTATCATGAAGCTCTCTAGAGGTCGTGTACCAAATTTGAAAAAAATATGTGTCAGTGATGGTTATGCTCTTGTTGATTTGATGCGTAATGACTATTCTTAAACTGTTGGTTAAAGTTAACGATATTTTATTACTAAACATAACTATTAATTTCTTAATTGTTGCACTACTCGTTGTTACACTGTTACTGTTGTTTTCGCGCGCTTTTTAAGAAAGGGGTAAAATAATAGTGACCTATGCGTAAACGTTATTTTAAGCAAAAAGTAAGCATTATAAATGTTTAAAAAAAAATCCAATGAATTTATCTTTAAATGTACTTACTTCGAAACATCTCTAGAACAAATACTGAATTTTTTTTTAAATTTGTTGTTCACATTTTTCGAGTCAGTGACAAGTGAATCTGTGAATGTAAAAACTAAAAACTATGTCACTGTTGTAAAAATACCTAAAAAAATAAAAATAATAAAATTTAACGTCAAAGAAGACATTTAAATTATTTAAAATGCGTTTTTCGTTTGATTTTTTTTGTGTGGGGTGGGAGTCCGAAGTGAAACCTAAGATATTAAATTTAAATTGAAAATTATTTTCATTACATTTATCGTGTCATTGATGAAACTATCAACTTCGGTGGAAGGAAAGTTTGATAGGATAAGAAATGTCATCCGTTTACCGGGCCAGTTTCGGGAAAGCAGTAGCAATTAAGTAACTTTTATTTATTTTACACGAAACAACTGGATTAAATTTCCTAAACAATCTCAGAAAAATATTAAAAACCTGTCAACTATTAAAGAAATTGCTAATAATAATATTGACTAAAAAACCTGACTGTTGTTAGTACAAGAGACCAACGATCTCCCGATGTCTCTTACTCGTTCGGTCAATCAATGAAATTTAAGACTGGAATAAATGAAATGGACAATGAATTGAAACTTGTTACCTGAATGTTAATTTTGTCATTTTTATTTAGGAAATGTAAATTTTTTCGTGTAAAAAAAAAAAAAAAAGTTACTTCATAAGCGGTCTCTTAATCTACAGTTTTTCTTAAACGAGCCCGGCAAACGGTCGGCTAATTAAACCACTTCTAAGTTGGAAAAAGTTAGAAAACAAGTAGTTTTAAACGTCCAATATTAAAATGTTATTTATTTAAATACGAAACCTAAATATGACTTATTTTAAGATAAATTTTTAAATAAAGTATTTATTAAAATTAAAAACATTAATGAAGATTGAAGTCATATTTTTCCGGACACTTTAAACTTCAATAGTTTGACACTAAAACTTTTTTTTTTTTTAGTTTTATGCCCCAAATAATGTGACCCAGTGAAAATTAAAACTCTATTATTAAATAAACGTTTTAAAAGTGTTTGACAAAAAAGTTTTTGAGAAGAGAATAATATGACATTTACAAACTTTATAAGTTATTAACGAAGCAATTCAAGTCTGTAGTGTAAATGAATGAGGAAAATTATTTTTATTGTTTATGAACTTTAATTTTTTAGTTTTTAAAAAGATCAAATATCAAATATTACTATGTACGTATCATTTGAATTCTTTCAGAAAAATATTTTTTTAAATTATAAATATTGCAAGAATAATCATGCAGAACTAAAAAGTAAAAAAAATATTACTCAATCAATCAATAATTAATTAAAAATGATTTGTTTTTTGTTTTCTTTTAACCATTGTTGAAAATTTTACAGGAGGGATTTTGTTTTGTGTCAACCAGAAAAAAAAAACCTGAGGTAAATAAGTCAAAAACTATTTTCTAAAGTGACACTTACAGAAAAAAGGCAATTTAAGCTTTACAAATGAAAAAAATACATTTTTGGGGGGGAAAGAATGAATGAAAGAGAAATTTCATTAAGAAGAATTTTCAAAATTAAAGCCGATAAATTTTATGAAATGCAAATCATATAACATATTTTTTAATAAAAATTTTACTCCAAAATAAACAGCACATCAAAAAGGATATTAAATGATTTAAAGATTATTTTTTAATAATCCAGTTTGAAAAATTAAAAAAAAAAAAAAAAAAAAAAGAAAGAAAAAACCGACCAATTCTGTCCGCACCTGATCTGCACCAATAAATCGAAGAGAAAGAACCAATAACAGTCATAAAATAACCGTGCATCGTTGTGGTATGCGTCATTTTTAGTTACTGGAAGACATTTTTACATCCAAAATCATTATGATATTTAATTTCAGAATAAAAAGATACTTTACATTTAATTTTTTTTCTCTGAAGTTTAACACACCGACATTAACAAAAGCATGCGTATTTATTTATTTGCTTTTTTTTTCTTCTTTCTGTTCTTCAAGGGAGATAATTCACAAATTGCTAGTAAATTTGTTCTCGCCAGGTTTCAAATCTGAGCACATGGTATGATCAGTTGTTTACTTGTAAAATCAGGGATAAATAATTATCGTATGTACTTTTCGATATGCATTATAATCATATTTAGACGAAAATTAATACTTAAAATAGAAATTTTCAGATAAAGTACTTTTATTTACACAAGGATATTTTTATTTTCTGATTTTTTATTAGTTTTAACAAAAAAAAATTGATCAAAATGCCATAAACGAATCAAGAAATTAAAAATAAAATATGCTGAATACTGGAATAAAATGTTTAGTATTTTTTAAAGATTTTTGGTGCAGTTGTATAGTAGGCACTTACATATAGAAAAAATTTTTAATTTTTTTTTTTTTTTTTTGCTATAAGTATTCTAGATCACAAATATCAGAAGAAAAAAATTGTTAAATTATATAAAAAAGCTAACATGGGGTCCAGTTTGCTATGTAAATTCATTGTAAATTGATCTCCCTACAAAAGTCAAAACAGGCTCATGTTTTCTTAAAATGTAAAAAACATAAAATCTTTGAAATTCATAATATAGAGTTCTGTTTTCAGATATTATTATCAATTAAACACTCCAGTTTACGAATTTTAATTTTTATTATTATTTTACATTTTAAGAAATCACATCATGAGCACATTTTGTTTTGGCTTCTGTAGGGGGCGGGGGGTAATTTATAATTAATTTACATAGGAAACAGGAGCATCTCTATTAACTTTTATAAAATTGAATTTTTTCCCTTTGATATTCATGATGTGGAATGATTAATCATACTTATTATAAAATCCAGGTTTATGTGTGTGTCTGTTCGTTTATATATTGGATCGGATTTCCTACATTTTTCAACCGATTTCAACTAAACTTTACAGGACTACGTAAAATTACCTTGCGGTGGTTCTAACAGTGCCAAAAATTGGAAAAACATAATTGTTTTTGCATGAAATCAATTTGAAAACACGATTAAGAGGCATCACTGTCACCAGAATAAAAGGGGGACAACTCATATCGAGTTATACTTATTATAAAACCCAGGTTGGTTGTTTGTGTGTGTGTGTGTGCGTGTGTGTGTGTGTTCGTTTATATATGGGATCAGATTTCCTACATTTTTCAACCGATTTCAACAAAACTTCACTTTTTTTTTGGCATGTTGTGTTTCTTATTGTCTTGCACACTTTTTTCTTTATTTTTACATTCAGAATGCTTTAAAAATTCCATTTACAAGACAATTGTTTATAACAAAATTCTATTCAATTGGTAGACTCATAACGATTGAAAACAATGTTTTTGTTTGAGTTTGACCAATTCGTAAAAAAAAAAAAAAAAAAAATAATAATTAAGACATGCGTGTCCATCAACCTTAAACAATAATCTTTGTCAATTTTTTTTTTCAGTCTTTATGATGGTCGATACTTGATCTATCTCTTACTGTTACATCCCCGGGCTCTACTGCTAGTCTATCATAATATGGAAAAAAATATTATTTCTGGTCACAGTGTCTACTATACAACTCCATTAAATTTTTTTTATATTTAACATGAATATTTTTTTTTTTTACATTTATCATTGATAAATTATATTATAATGATCATATCATTGCAAGGGAAAGAACAAACAAGGATTAAAATTTCAACATGTATTGATCAAGTGTGAAAAATACAGAAACTAAAAGTCAAAAACTATGTTAACACTAGTATGAGAGGAATTATTTATTCAGATTTTACTGAACAGTCTCCACCTGTCCTCCAGCACGATTGATGCACAAATACTAGCAATCAACAGTACAATTTAGTGCCTTGACACACATTTCACAGGGAATGTTTGATACTTACACCTTTTATTCTGTCTTTGAGTTCTTCAATGTCTATAACTTTTTTGCTAAACACACAATCATACCCCATAACCAGAAGTCATGGGGTGTCAGATCAGAGGAGTGTGGTGGCCATGCCAACGAACTGCCGCGACCAATCCAACAATTTGGGAAACTTTGTTCAAGACAAGCACGAACAGCACTGGCAAAAAGAGGTGGTGCAGAATCCTGTTGGAAATACCCTGCTCATCTGATTTATAGGGGTATGTTATCAATGGCAAACTCTTGCAGCATTTGTAAGTAAGCATTTGCAGAAATATGTGCCAATTGCACCATGTGGCTTCTGGTTATGAGAGGAATCATTTATTTACATCAGGGTGTCAGAAGAGGGTAGTGTCGTGGCCATGTCAACGATTCACCGCGACCTATCCAAAGATTTGGGAAACTTTGATCGAGACAAACGCAAACAGTACGGGCAAAAAGAGGTGGTGCAGAATCCTGTTGGAAATACCCTGCTCATCTGATTTGTAGGGGTATGTTATCAATGGCAAACTATTGCAGCATTTGTAAGTAAGCATTTGCAGTCACCGTTAGAGTTGTAAAGAAATATGGGCTAATTACAACCTGTGATTTCTAGTTATGGGGTATGATAAAAGATCGCGTGTATAGCAAAAAAGTTAGAAACATCGAAGAACACAAGGACAGAATAAAAGGTGTAATATGAAACATTCCTCATGAAACGTGTGTCAAAGGCACTAAATTGTACTGTTGATCGCTTTTTTTTTTCTTTTTTTTTTGCATCAATCATGCTGGTGGCCAAGTGGAAACCGTTCAGTAATCTCTAAATAATTCCTCTCACACTAGTGTTTACATAATTTTGACTCACCATGTATATACATAGTTGTGTGAAAGGTGATAAAAGTTGTTAATATGTGGTTTTTTATTTACTGTTGGAAAGGAAAGTAATTAGGGATAATTGTATTGTCGGTAGGGTCAGGAATTGACCAATTTGTTGGGTTGGTTGATCAAGGTGACGGTTTGTGTCAGGAGAGAGGCCTGAAGTGAATTAATGAAGCCGAGTGTGGTGACACTGGCAGGCTTGACATACATCTTTCCTCATGGCTGAAATTGACACTGATGTTTGATGGGCTGTCAGTCATGAGATA